CAGGTAGCATAGAATGCAACTGGATGAAACTGGAGTCGCTGGGAAGGGGGACCTTGGTCAACCTTATGGCTGCTTGCTGGAAGGGCAAGAGACCTTCCCTACAGACCAACCCTGCTTTTCTCCAAATCCAGTCTCCCTTCTCCCTCCACGGGTCTGAAACCTCTTCCGAGCGTTGGTCCTTTCCAACATGAGTATAAATGCTTTTGTGTTTAAATCTCGAGCAAATCGGCAGTCCCCTAAGAAGGCACTCTTAGATAAACAAATATTAGATGGTGGTGGCATTTTCTGGGAAGTGGGAGAAGGTGAAGGGGCAGGTTGGGGAGAGAAAAAGTTCTAGATTAGTTCTAGATTATTCTCAATCTGTGGTGTCACTGCTTCAAAATCTATACTAAACATCAATTATAGTCTGAATAATGTCTCACCCTCATACCATTATTTCTTTTTTTTTTTTACAAGTGAAATAAAACAAAGTTTTATTTCAAGCAGCTATACATAAATGTCCACAAATGTTAATTTTAGCCTACCTAATATAATTATCCCCTGCATACATTAGGATTCAATCTCTTAAAGCACAATAATGGCTGTTGCTAGAACTTTATACAGATAATACCAACACATTCATATTCACATACAACAATCAAAACTGTCAGTCAATATGAACCAACCTTATTTACCAGCTGCCTCAGAAACTCACTTTTATGGGCTGCATCCATTATTTCTAAAAATAGATACATATAAGATAGATAATATTTTAAAATTAAACACAATTTCATGGAAGGGCTTTACTGAAATCACACTAGCTCTTGCCATTTTGTATTTTCTCAGTCTCATTAATTCCACAGATATTCCTTGAACCCCTACTAAAATATCACCTTTGCTCTGTGGCGCCCAAAAGAGCCTGGCATCATGTCCCCATGCTAGGAACCCGATACCTTCTTACCGCATTGATTCAGCCTTGTGGGGGACACAGACAAGAAAGCAGTCTATTCCAATACCATGCGATAAATGCTCAGAGGAGAATGAGAATCATACCCAGGGGTACCAAAAGGAGGGGCCCTAACTCATATTTGGGGAGCCTCAAAGGAAGAGTAGGAGTAAACAAACTGTGTGTGTGGGGGGGTGTGCAAAGGAAGTATTTTACTTGATCTGCACTACACATCCAGGAATTGAGTATTTTCATTGGTAAAATATCTAAGGTCCTTTGAGTCAGATCCAATTACCCTTTATAAAGTGCTAGAAATGTGTCAAGCGCTGCTCTATGTATTAGATGTATAATTTCATGTTATCATTATGGAAACTCTTTGATTGAGGAGTTATTCCTATTCTGGCCTCTGTGGTTTCCTGGCTATTAAAGACACCTCCATCATCAGGCCCAACCAAGGTCCTTGTACCCTCCCCTTCTGTTTCTATCTCCTTCCTGGGCTCCCTGGTATTTAGCCTTTTATTCTCTTCTATATCAAGTTGCTGCTAAATAACTTCTCCTTTGGAGATTTTGTCCCACAAGACTAACTAGCGAAGATGAAAAATTATCCAGCAATGTGCAGTCTCTAAACACAAATGCACAGACTTTTTCCTTTTCCTGAAAAATTAATTCAGGAAAACTATTAGATGCTATAAAAAACGTAAGATACCAAAATCTTACATGCAGGTTCTGACTGTGGATGTTTAAGAACTCTTAAAAAATTCCTTTAGTTATTGTCTTGAGTCCCTTTCTTCAATGATACCTCCTTTTGTTCCTGAGGGTGTATCTTATCAAACCTCTCTTTACCCTCAAACTTTAGGTTTCCTATAGGGCATAGTAATTCTCTAATTCATAAAGGGCATTTCAAGGAAGTGGGCCAGGAGGCACAAAGTGTAAGAACTATACGAATAAACCAGTGTTCATTCACTACCATGCACTGAATCAAGTAGATGCTATGCATTTTGGGGGACTCCTGAAACAAGTGCTGCCACTTCAATGAGACTCTTGTCCCACCTATGAACAGCCCTTCCCTTGAAGTATTTACACAAATGCTTCAAATTATCCCAGAATCAACAATAAAATCAGGAATTTGTCTGTTTCACATTGGCTTTCTTCTTAAGAATTTAAGAAATAAATATTCTGAATATCTCTTCCAAAGTTACTACTTGCATCCAGGTCCTTGTCTATGATGCCCACCTCAACTGAATTTCTGTAGACTCCATATCTGTATCTGTAAGTCTGAATTGGAAGTTTTTAGAGAATTCAACTAGGTGAGCTAAAACACTGTATCAGCACTTTCTCTACAAATGATGGCCAAGTTTTGAAAAGTTCCAGCTAAGGGCCAATTCCCTTTGACTCCATAGTTATATCCCTTTCTCAACAAAGTCATTTTTCACGAAGAAAAGTCTTTGTTTGCACTAACACAACTTCACTCTTTCTAGACATGGCAGATGTGGGCAGGGGTCTATTCAGGTACCTGGTCATCCAGCTGTTCTTTTAAACAATAACTCAGTTAATTAGCTTAGTCCTGGCTAAGGAGAACAAGCCTCCTACTGGAGGTGGGTCAAAACTCTCTTCTTCAACCCAGTGAAAAACTAGGATAAAATGGAAATGGCATGTCTCCACTTTCTAAAACTAGAAATCCAATAATGTTTTTTGGCAGACCTCAGTTGCTAGTGTACATATTTTTGTGGCCTTTTCTTTTGCTCTAGCAACCAGCAGAAACCTTAAAGAATGATCTTAAAAAAAAACTTTTTATTGTTATTTTTAAAAATTGAAGATAACACAAAGCATGCTTGTGCTTTTATAGAATTGAAATAAATGAAGTCTGCCTTATCAAGTTTACACACACAACAATAAACTGAAACAAGGCATTATAGTTCAACAGCTAAAAGCAAAGATTGTGAGGCCAGACTGCCAGAATTCAAATCCCAGCTCTACCACTTAAGAGTTATATAATGCTGGGAAAATTATTACTTAGCCTCTACATACTTCATCTGTAAAATGGGAATAATAAAAGTATCTATTTATAGGATTGTTGTAAGGTTTGAATGAGTTAACATATGTAAAACCCTTAGGGTAATGTCTCGCACACAGTTAACTATATAACACATATGTATTATTAATACTATTGCTATTATTATTATTATTGAAAGTGATTCAAAATTTGATACTATTCCAATATTTAGGTCCATTTGATAAAATTTAATAGTATGGATCCCAGTTGATTAACTTAACACAACTTAGTCACACCTCAATATTTGAAAATATTTTTACATCCAGCAATACCATTCACTGCTTTTTTACATTAATCTCTTTCAATTTAAAGTATTTTTCTAAAATATATACTGATATATGTTAGACATGGTATGGAAATTCCAATCTGTTTTCAAAGAAGTTACTTTAATTGGAGATTAAATAAACTAATACACATAAAACAAGAAATAACATAAGTCAGGAAAATGCTAAACTGAACATAATCAGGTAATAAAAATGGGCAATAAAAACTACATTTTTAATTAATTGACTCAGCATTAGTTAAAGAGAGGTAGCCTGACCCTACTTTGGCATTGTGGGAAGAGGTAAAGATAGTATCACGTCCAAAGTGAACCAAGTGGGGGCAACACCCTACACACTTACAAGATCTCTCACTATTCTCCTTACCATGTGACAGGCAAGGTAAATATGGTGAATGATTCTGGATGTAAAACCACTATGCCCTTCACACAATACACAGCCAGCCAGTTACAATCTTCATGCCTTGAGGAATTTAAAGTCTAGTTAATTCAAGGAATAACACGTGGAACAGATATAAAATAGCAAATAGCACAGTACAAAAAAACAAAAACCAAAACAAAAGCAAATACTTAACAAAGAAAACAAGAAATCTGTTTTCACTGGTGCAATGTGAGAAAACATACTACATGTTGCTGAAAGCAAAAAAGAAAATTGGTAAGATGAGGAGCTCATTTTGTTTCTGCTAAAGCCTTGTGTTCTGTTTTTTCCTGAAGAATATTTTTTATAAAACAATCACCACAGAAAACATAATCTGGTTCAGAATAGAAGAGATATAGTAACATATTCAGCTTTCAGAGTGCTCAGTTGATGACAGGATGATGATTCTAAGCTTTAAAGAGTCTACATGTTCATTAGGGAGCTGGTTCCTGGGAAACTTTAATTTTCTATCGATGCCTAATGACAGAAGAGGATGCACTTTGAAGTCTTCGTACTCTCAATCAGATTTTCCCCTCTTTGCTCACATATAACCCATTAAAATGAATAGAAATGTTACACTTAGATGAAGAACAAAAATTGCCAAGTAGAACATAAGGAAAATGATGAATTTGAAAAAGAAAGTTTTACTGGAAAAGAAATTTAAGTAGCTATGCATCCAAACTCCACTGCCACACACTCAGACAGGTTTCTCCAGGTCTCAAAGTATGGAGCGAGGGAAACACATACACTGCATATGGTTAACGGTATGGGATTCCAAATCAGGGAGCCTGGGCTTAAGCCCCAGCCCTGTCCTTAGTAGTCATATAATTATCCATTTGACTTTAAATGTGTTACTTAGTTTCCCTAAGTTTCAGTTTCCTCATCTATTAAAAAATACTAGAAAATACCAACCTTGTAAATTTGTAATAATAAGGAATTAATTTATAAAAAATATTTGGGTGAATGCCTGAAGTATAATAAAGACTCAAAAATGATTATTGTTATCAAGAAGGCCTGATTCACCTGTAGCAATGTCCCAACTATTGGATATTTGGTCGTATTTTAATAATATTCACATATTTATTCAAATATATACAAGCACACACATACATAATTTACTACATACTACCACGCCTTAGTGACCAACTAACAGGCCTGAATCTTAGAACCAGCAACATAACAGGATTCAAATGTTTGACTACCCAATTTCAAAGCTAAGGACCTTAAATACTACTTCTGGAAAGATACTGACAGAGGGTAAGAAACTAGTTGGAGAATCCCCAATTCTTTAGGAATTATACTGTAGACCACAGCAGTATGATACTGACACATCCATCCAGATCATCAGACAAGCAGTTTTTTTCAACCTCATCATGCCTGTACAAACCTGAGGTCTGGCCCGTTGCTGTTCCATTTCCAGGCTAGTGTGAGCTTGCCAACCCAAGCACTATGGCAGATTTGGTGGCCAGAACTTCATTTTCAGGAATGTAGCATCTGGTTTCATTGCTCTGTCAACAACTTGTCTCTGGATCCCTAGGGTCATTAGTGAAAATGGGCCCCCATGCAAAGGCCAAGATGGATCCACCTACATATAACCAAGAGTGCTTCCTCTCTCCTGGGGCAGGACTGGTGTTAGGCCTGAGTCCCAGAGGGTAGCAGGAGGGGTCCTACGGCCATGTAATAATCACAGCCCTGCAGCCCTGGATGCTGCATCAACCCAGGGCAGCTGCAGAACTGTGTTCATGTCTCCGGGTCTTAGCAATCTCCTCTCACAAACAGGTCCATAGCTTGGGCCTTAATGGAAACTCTAGTCCCCTATATACATGCTCTACCTCCACCTTTCTCTTTCTTCCTACCTGCTTCTCCTCTTTGAAAAGTCTTATTACAGTAAGATTCTGTCAGTCACTGATGAGAACATCAAGGTAATCGTCCTAAGAAAAAATACCATTCCATCTAGGACATGTTGGGTGTTCTCCTCTGCCAAGAGCCTCTTACACAGGCCTCTCAAAACCCAACAAGAGTCTGCGAACCCCAACAAAACCAATGAAGTATGCTAATTTAGTGGTGCTTTTGGGGCTGTCCTACCCTCTTGTATGACACCTATTTGAGAGCACTCTTCCGTACACAGACTTCTCTGACTTGACTGGAAAGCCCCCTTCCTATCATCAACCCCTATTTGAAAAGAGCCTAAATCCTGGACTTTATCCCCTCCCTGTCTCTATTCTTTGAGAACTGAGACCCAGACATCTAAATTCCTCAAATAACCATGCGCACAAATGTTAACATTCCAAACCAAACAAAAAATTAAAACTCAGCTTCCCTTACTAAGTTCAGTATCTAAAACTAAAAAACCAGACTCTATAAAAGGCCATACAAATGTCATGAGAGTCTTTGTCAGGAAAAATAAAGTAACGAGGAAAATTCAGTAGGAATTCTTTATTACTTTCAAGAGAGGATTTACATGCACCATATTGCCAGACCACATAACAACAGGCAGTTAGTGACTGGGGTTCTATTTCAAGGGACATTTAACCGGTAGTATATCCAAATCAGCATTGTTAGGAGACAAGTCATAAAGTCATTCTACTGAATTTATTCCATGATGTTACTACTCAGTAGGAAAACAAAACAAAACAAGAGTTGTCATGGCTTAGAAAGTTCAACAAAGCATGTAGAAATATGTGAGTAAATATTTTTACCTTAAATTGGATATCAGTTTTCTTACTGTTTCCTTGACAGATGTGCTTTGAAAAGATGTCAGCGAAGAAGCAACTTTACAACTGTCACTCACAAAAACTCTGTCTTTGTGTCCAGAACTTAGCTTTACATCTTCCATTGGCACACTGGTTTATAATTTCAAAGTAGGAATCACATTAGATATTAATAATTTCAGAAACATTAATATACAAGTGAAATTTTAATACATAACAAATGAAAGCAAGAACATATATGTAATGCTGAAAATTGCTTCCTCTGTAGTAATATAAAATCAATTCTTAATTAGAAGAATTTTTATGTATTCTTGTCATATATTGTTCAAGGTTTTTGGGTAGCCACAATAGAATTGGTGATAATTTATTCTTAACAACAGTAGTCATATACTATTTGTCCCTTATTTGCTGAAAGAGACTTTTAAACGTGTTACAACTATGGAATTTTTAAAATAAGCTTCATGATAACCACAAAGCAAAAACCTATAATAGATCCACTAAAATTAAAAAGTAACGAATTAAAACAAACTACCTGAGAAAATCACTTAACCACAAATGAACGAGACATTTAAAGTTCTATCTTAGCCTGAGAGAAATGCACAGAAATAAAAATGGAACAAAGTCAATTAAGAGACATATTTAGTTGTGATCTGCAGAAACAAGAGTGTTCCAAGTGAAGTGCAATGATCCTGGGGTAGAAAGAGTAAGGATGATTCCAAGAAGAATGAGAAAGTCAGAGCTGCTGGGTGGAATGAGCAGGAAGCCGAGGGACAGAGGGGAGAGAGGCCTGTGCTGGGATCACAAGGCATTGTGGACATGGGAGGGAACAGGAATTTCTCTAAGCAGAGGGGACACCACACTGGAGGGTTTCAGGCATGGGAGCAAGAGGACCTGACACGAGTTTTAAAAGAATACCTGGCTGCAGCACAGAGAATAACTCACAGCGAGGATGTGTAAAACAGTGCAGAATGTTAATGAGACTAAAGCTTCCAGTATTGTGGGAACAAAAAAGTGTCAGAGGGTGGGGACGGTACAACATGGGAGATGAAGCTGGGTAGGTAGGTAGGGTCAGATCATGCAGGGTTTTGTTTTGTCAAGTAATAGGGATATAAGGATATCTTTGTAATCCTTTCATGCTGACATCCATAAATTAAGAACACAGCTCTAGAGAGTTTTATATGTTTATGCTCTAAGAGCCTTTCAAAAATTGGATAATAGTTTATATTAAATGAAATGTGCTTCTACTGTCAACAGTTCTTTGGCATTAATTATACTGTCTAACATCAGCTGGTTTTTTTTAAGATTAAGAACATTATATAAACTAATGCTTAATTGTCTGTTAAAGATACTTAACACAATGTCTGAATGCTTATTAGTTATGACCTCTTTTATGCTGAAATTTTATTAAGGAATTTTTTTTTTTAAACTATTTTAGTGATGCTGGAAATTCATGCTGGTATTGGGGGTGAAAGGTAATATGCACTATACCAGAGCACAGGAGATACCTCTCTGAACCTCTGTTTCCTCTTCTGCCAAATAATAATAAAGCCTACCTCATAGAGTTGTGCTTAGGATAAAAAAGAGATACACAAAGAATTTAGCTCAATGTTTAGCATTAGTGAGTGCTCAGTAAACAGTACCTAATTATTATTATTATGATCATCTTTATCAACACTACCATTAGTAATGTGTTTGATAAGGTTCTCCATTAAGATTGTTCTAGTTGGACTGTAGTTCTAACATTCATGTTGTATTTATGAGTCAACAGTGATTAAAAGCACACACACAGACACAAATGTGTTCAGTTTTTGGATGAATCTTACACTTTACCTTGAATTTTAATAAATAACTCTAGGTTAAAGTATTGCCCACAGGAAGGCCTAGCAAAAGCACTGGGGGAAAATCACATCACTTATTCAATCAACAAATATTGTTGAGAGCCAACCATGAGTCAGGTGCCACTTTGGGTACTAGGAACACAGGGGTAAGCAAGACAGTCCCTGTTCTCATGGAATGAGTTATTTTCTAGTGCAAAATAGAGAAAATAAGTAAGCTAAAATTAAAAATGGCAAAAGAAATAGATGAGTAAATAAGATACTTCAGAATAGTAATAAGTGCTTTGAAAAGACTGAAACAGGATGATAAGAGTGTGACTTATCAGAAGTCGGGTGGGCTATTTTAGATAGAGTCGTCAAGGAAGTCCTCTCAGAGGCTTAGAGTTATGAAGAAGACAAGACATGGCCCCTGTCCTTAAGGATCTGGCATGCAATGGGAAGACATATTCAAATACACAATTCCACTTGACTCTGAATGGTTGCTCACCATTGTGTGTCAGAACATAATTGATATTTAACAAATAATTATTAAAGTTGAACAAATTACAACACAATCTGATCACTACAACGGTGGCTCTGTGAAACCTGAGTTTACCTGGGAGAGTCAGGAAGACCCCAAAGAAAGGAATACTTAAACTGAGACTTAAACAAAAGGGTAATCGAGATTGTGATACAAGTTGCAGAGGGCATTCAAGCAAAGGAAGTAGCATAGATAAAGAGATGGAAGGATGTGATAAAAACAGAACTATAAGTAACTTAGAACCTCTGCGAAGAAAAGCGGATGATAAAAGAAGAGGCTGAAATGAAGAGGATTTGTGCCATGGTAAGCAGTTTGTAACTTACCTTAGAACACTATACACTGTTGGTGGAAATGTAAATTAGTACAATGAACTATGGAAAAGGGTATGGAGATTTCTCAAAGAACTAAAAATAGAACTATCATTTGATCCAGCAATCACAATACTTGGTATTTGCCCAAAGGAAAATGCATCATCATATCAGAAAGATACCTGAACTCGTATGTTTATCACAGCACTATTCCTAATAGCCAAAATACAAAATCAACCTAAACATCCATCAACAGATGAGTAGACAAAGAAAATACGGTGTATAGAATACTACACAGCCATAAAAAAGAATGAAGTCATGTATTTTGCAGAAACACAGATGGAACTAGAAGCTATTATCTTAAGTGAAATAACTCAGAAACAGAAAGTCAAATATTTCATGTCCTCATCCTTAAGTCGGAGCTAAGCAATTGTGCACACATGGACACAGACTGAAGAAATAGACACTGAAGATGAGAAAGGGTGGAAAGGCGGGAGGGTGAGGGGTGAGAAATTACCTAGTGGGTACTATGTACACTAATCAGGTGATAGTCACACAAACAATATGGGATTTGGATTCAGAGAAATTGGGTCTGAATGCCTGGAAAGCAGCTTAGATAGGCTGTAGTTAAGGATAAGGGTTTTACTTCCCTGGAAACATTTTTTTAATTCTATCGGATATCTAAAATATTCAACTGATTTTATTTTAAAAGCAACAAAATTCTCATGTCAAGAAAATTCTAACATACAATGATTGTAATTACATGTATGCACGACAATAAGATAATGAGTCACACAGAAAAAAAATCAGTTCATGAGTTCATAATCATACCTTACACATGTGTGACATTTTCAATTGTTCTCGGGCTATACTACAATAATTTGAATTGGTTACTTGCTGTGGGTAGGAAGTTAAGCCTGCTTCATTTGTTTATTCCCAAATCTTCACAAAAGAAAAGGCTTAGGGAAAAGGTGTATTTCTATTATTTCTTGCCTGTGTTGTAAAATTTCATTCTATTCTTGATTGCCTTTGTTGCTATTATTTCTCTCCTCTTGTATTTAAACACTGATAATTACTTTTCAACAGTATAATTATGCTCACTTGGAATCTGTATAATTGTAGACTCACCTTTTCCAGTTAGGCAATGAAGAGTTTCTTTTTATTGCCGGAGCATCAATGCGCAGCTCCTGTTTTTCTTTAAAAAACAGACAAAACAATCACATTTTGGTGATGACTCAATAACCTTAATCAAAAGAAATGTGAGTAGTTTATTAACCACCTATATATAATTTGGATTTATATTCAACTGCCATTTATAAAACTGTACCAAGTTTAAAGCAATTTATAATATGTTCTAAAGGTAATTTATAATAATCTTTTATTATAATAAAGTATTTATAGTATATATAATAATCTAAGAGCCCCCATAACTTTTTTGTTTGGCAGTTTTTTGTTTTTTTTTTTTCGAGACAGAGTTTTATTCTGTTGCCCTTGCTAGAGTGAGTGCCGTAGCATTAGCCTAGCTCACAGCATCCTCAAACTCCTAGGCTCAAGCGATCCTACTGCCTCAGCCTCCCGAGTAGCTGGGACTACAGGCATGCGCCACCATGCCCGGCTAATTTTTTTTCTATATATTTTTAGTTGTCCAGATAATTTCTTTCTATTTTTTCAGTAGAGACGGGGTCTTGCTCTTGCTCAGGCTGGTCTCGAACTCCTGAGCTCAAACAGTCCGCCCGCCTCGGCCTCTCAGAGTGCTAGGATTATAGGCGTGAGCCACCGTGTCCGACCTTTTTGGTAGTTTTTTAACTGATGTTACCATCAATAATGGATGATTGATCAGGGCAGTTCAGATTCTCTACTTTCACCAGCCTCCAGCATCCCACTCTCTCCCAGGTTCAAAGATATTCTGACAGATCACAGTGAAAAATGTGTCTCCAGTACATAGTTGAACTTTAAAGCAGGAAGAGACCTAGAGACATCAAGTCTGTCTTCTCATTGTGGGAACCTAAGAATTATAGGTTCATAGAAACTGATGATTTGTTTCCAGTCCACAGCAAAGCAGAAATCCTATGATCCTCTTGGATTGGTTTTGGGGTGTTTTGGGGACAGTATAAGCAATGAGTCAAAGTGTCCTCCTTCCACCTATCACTAGAATTCTCTGTTATAACTGTCCAGATACTAAGTAAACCTTTGCCAATAAGATTAGGGCTACTTAAGGTCAAGTAGAACTGAACAGCAACAAGTTTTAGATGGTGGGTAAATGGCTGAGGAGCTACCTAACTCTTTTAAGGAAAATATAAAAAAGAATAACCAGATAGAGGTTTTCCAAGCATGTTGTTGGCACCATTGGTTTTACTCACTGACTTGCATGCAAAGTGAAATTTTTTAACCCAACAGCCAACTAATGCATAATTACAGTCATTTGAAAATATTTCACAATTTGTTCCTGCCAAACTCAGGATAAGCATTTGAAATTAAATAATAATTTTAGGATCAAAATTGTATTAGCAATTTTTCTACAATTTAGAAATCCAACAGGACCACACTACAATTTGGAAATCCACAGTAACAGTTTTTGAAATGTCTATAAAAGATTGGCTTTAAAATTAAGATACCCACACAAAAGAAATCCTGGTTGTAGAATTGCAAATTATCATAATTAAGATGAAAAAGAAAGAGTATGATTTCTTAGGGACCTCACTAATGGGTTCAAACACAAAATTGTGAATGAATAGTTGATTGGGTTACTTAAGCAAGGAAGTATGAAGGATGGAAGAGCTTACCACCAAAAGTGAACACAAAATAATGTCATGGATTGATACAAAAAAGGATCAGGATTGGTGAAACCAAATGAGCCTGGACTTGCTAAGGAAACTAAAGAGTGCTCTAAAACTTACTTCAGAATGAGATAATGATAATAAAAATAATGCATGTGCTGCTTGGGCCCAGTGGTATACTACTAAAATAAAAGACAGAATAGCATAATGCTAATATTATAATACATAATAAAAGAATTACAGTAATAACAATGAATGAACAGTAAGAAACTAAAATACTTTGAGTCTCGTTTTTTTCCAGCCTCTCTACCTAGGAAATTATTATTGGATTGACTATTATAAAATGGCAACTTAAGGCTTTAAATAGTTCATCTTTTACTTGACCTACATTACATCTCATGGACATGAAGGAACTAATAAATGTGTTTGTTGAACTACTCTTAGGGATCTCAGAGAAACCAAGAAAAGAAGGAAAGGTACTTAAACATTGAAAATAGGGAACTTTCAATATAATTTTCAAAACAGATTCTGAAAATTATAGAACTGATATCAATCCTCAGCAAAATTCTAAATAGAATTCAAGGCAGAGAGTGGAATAAATCTGTGGAAATTTCAGGCAGTGTGGCAGTGTTGACGGTACTCTTCTCAGCCAGGAAGTGTCTCTGCCCCGGCAAAACTCATGAGATTGGCACCCTCTCTTCACCCCTATTCCCACTTCTGGAACAACAAATTCAATTTTTTAAAATCCAAATTGCTGATGAAGTTCTGATCTGTATCTCAGGCTGTCAAATAAGCCATATTGAAAACACCTCAAATATTATAGGTAATATATATGTATACATAGTCTAAATTGTTTTTACCTTTGTTTATAAGAGGAATTTCCTTTTTTTCTTGTTTCAATGAAGTATCAGTGTTGCTTTTATTTAAAACCTGAAAAACAAGCTCTTTATTTAAAACTGCACAAAAGCATAGGACATATTATGAGGTTAAGAAAAGACCTTGAAGAGCAGCGCCCATGTCAGAGAAGAGAGATCAAAATGTTACCAGCAGTAAAGTTATGTTTATGTGCATGTTATTTTTTTCTTAATTTTTTTTATTTCAGCATATTACAGGGGTATAAATATTTAGGTTACGTATATTGCCCTTGCCCCACCAGAGTCAGAGCTTCAAGAATGTCCATCCCCCAGACAGTGCGCACTGCACCCATTACATGTATATATACTCATCCCGTCCTCCTCCCTCCCATCTGCCCGACACCCGATGAATGTTATTACTATCTATGCACTTCAGTGTTGATCAGTTAATACCAATTTGATGGGGAGTAAATGTGATGCTTGTTTTTCCACTCTTGGGATATTTCACTTAGTAGAATGGGTTCCAGCTCTATCCAGGATAATACAAGAGGTGTTGGATCACCACTGTTTTTTGTGGCTGAGTAGTAATTCACAGTATATATATACCACATTTTATTAATCCATTCATGTATTGATGAGAGAGAGAGAGAGAGAGAGAGAGAGAAAGAATGTGTGTGTATACCCTTCAGGGAAAGACACCCAGAATGCTCCCTTTATATATTTTGTAAATCTGTGAGAAGATGGAGGAACAGGCAGTTAAAAAAATAAAAAAGAAGAAGAAAAAAGAAAGAAAGAAAATAGGGAAGGCACAAGCTCCAGTCTACTCCTTGATCTGAAGCCCCCTAAACACATTCTGAGACACAACCGTGTCCCCCTACCTCTGTTATCGGGCATCAGGCGTGGACCTACCAGTTTTTTTGAAGCATACTCATTGTGTGTGTATCCTTCACCTTTCATGCCCCCTCTAACCTGGTAAACAAACATGGCATAGAGAAGATGGCATCCCTCTTTTTTCCCCCCTCCCAGGAAACAAAGGAGTATTTTTACTCAGCATTCTGGAAACTGGTCTTTGAGGAAGGAGGTTAAATGGGCACGCATGTAGCCTAGCAACAAAATAACTGTGTAGCTGTCCATCATTGCCATCTTCTATTTCACCCAAATCAAGAGAAAGAAAAGCTTTGTGCATAGGGAAGAATAAATAAAACTGCTTCTAAGCTACTTTTGTCCATTTCAAACTATTTTTAGACGTACACTGTAAACACGTGCATGTTCCACAAAGTAATCAAAATGCATATGTTTTAAAAATTTATTTTGCAAAAATCTTGAAAGTGATGTTAAAATATATGTTTTTATCTTATTTATTTTTGATGTGACATAAAATTTAAAGTTTTCTTCTGGGCCAGGCGCGGTGGCTCATGCCTGTAATCCTAGCACTCTGAGAGGCTAAAGCAAGCGGATCGTTTGAGCTCAGGAGTTTGAGACCAGCGTGATCAAGAGTGAGACCCCGTCTCTACTAAAAATAGAAAGAAATTATCTGGACAACTAAATATATATATAGAGAGAGAGAAAAAAAAATTAGTCGGGCATGGTGGCGCATGCCTGTAGTCCCAGCTACTCGGGAGGCTGAGGCAGAAGGATCGCTTCAGCCCAGGAGTCTGAGGTTGCTGTGAGCTAGGCTGACGCCATGGCACTCTTGCTGGGGCAACAGAGCGAGACTCTGTCTCAAAAGAAAATTTATGTAACCAAAACATTTGTATCCAGGGCGAGTCTTTGTCTTAAAAAAAAAAAAAAAAAAGTTTTCTTCTGATATGCTGATATATGAGAAAAATCTACATGATATTAAGTGTCTCTGACTTTGGCCTATATATTTTTTTGACCAGTTTATGAGCAGCATAGACGATTTTCAGCAATAATTAACAGCAACCATAAGATAAGCTTAGGAGAGGAACTATCTATTGTCTTTAGTTATAATCACTTTGTTATAATCCATGACAATTATACTTGATATGTTAATTTTCTTTGGTAACTTTTTCTTACGATGAAATCAGACAAGATTAAAGCATCCAAGATTAACAAAAATGACAGTACTCCCAGAAGAGAACTTTTGTTGTTAATGTTGTTTACACAGCCTCATGAAATTAATTATTTTTGTATTCTATTGTTTAGTTCTCTGCTTTGAGCTCTGCCTTGTTAGGGCTGTTTCCATTAAAATCAGACAAGCCCCCTCACCCCAAAAATGTTACTTGTACAAAGTTTTACCATCTCTATTACAGGAGAGATTTCTTTTCTTTTGCTTTCCTGTATTTTCTTTATTCTTTAGATTGAAAGCATAGAAATGTTTAAAAGATTTCTAGATAACCAATTCACAGCCTATTATATTTACTGTTAAATAACATTGTGTAAATATATGGTTTTATAATATGCTACCTTCCATAAAAATGTAGTTGTAGTTTTGAGGTTATGAATTTTTCCAAGCTGAGATGAGAAGACATACAGTTGTCTTTCTGATGACATTACTTGTATATTTTGATCTTAGTTATGCAGATCTTTCACATACATTAATTCATTTCATTATAGATATTTTCTTCAGTCACTTAGGCTTAACTGTGCCTCATGCTCTGCAGTTTGGGGATGACTCTTTCCTAAGATTTTTATCTAAATCATGAAACGAATAACACCTCCTACACAGTAAATGAGATTATAGTTAAGTCTTAACATGCCGTTTAAGACACCTTAATTAAAGTCATGTTAACAATGAGCAGGGTGTGATTTGTCCGTTCTCAGAGGGCTGCAGTGTGGATCAGCATAACACTGCATGCTCAGTTTTGTAAAGTATCTACTTAAGATGACAAATAAATCATAAATAAGTTAGAAAGAGGAAAAAAACACACCACTGGCAGCTGTGTAACACCTGTCTAATTTAATTGCTGTTAAGGAAGCTTCAGAACTGGATGATGTCACTTTATCTGGTTTCTTTTCTTCTGTTTCTTTACCCTCCATGCCTACCTCAAGCACTTACTATTTTCAAGGACCCATCAAGGCTACCAGTCCAGTAAATGCCTTTTTGCCAAGTTCAAGGATGCTTTCTGTTTGTACTCTTCCACATTTTACAGTATGTTCTAGGCCCTCCCCTTTAGTTATTAAGTTATTCGATGACATTGAGCTCCCAGTGTGTGTCAGAGAATGTGATGGTGAGGAGTCCAAAGCCTTGCCTTTATGGAGCTCATTTTCTGAGGGAGAAAGATACGAATAAATTAAAAGTTAAATATGGGATATAATATCAGAGGAGGGAAGTTCTGTGAAGAAAAATAACACCGGTAAGACAGAGCAATGTAAGGGGCTGCATAATCTGACCCCGCTGCCTCTGTTGTCACCTTACATCCTTCACTCCTCTGCTCTAGACACTCTTCCACTAACATGCCAGGCACACTCCTCTGTCCAGACTTTGGCTTGTTTGCTACGGATTTGTGTGTTCCCCCAGGTTTTCCTAGCCTTTCCTCAAGCATCCCCTCAGTGGGGCCATCCTTGCCACTCTACCTAACGCTGCGACTCACCTTCACCACATCCAACACAGATACTTCTTATCCCCTTCCCTTGTTTTGTTTTTCTCCTTAGCACTTACCACTGTCTACCACACAACATGTTACTTATCGTCTCTTGTCTATTGTCTTATCCCACCCCCCTAGCAAGGAAGCACAAGGGCAGGGAGGATTGCCTGTTTTTTTTTTCTCCTGCTGGGTCCCCAGTGTCTAGGATAGTAACTGATATTCAGTATACTCACAGAATAAAAGTAAAAAAATCAAGTCATGAAAATACATGTGCTGCTGACAGTACTGATGGAGGTGGTTTGGGTAGTGGAGTCTAGGTAGGAACAACAAAGGAAAAGTTTAGTATTACATTGCTTGTTCTCTTTCTCCACCTGTGTTATTTTTCTTCACAGAACTTACATGACATGATACTACATTACATATTTATCTTTTTATTTATTTTATATCCCTTAGGGTATTGGAGGCCAATGAAGGTCAGAATGGCTACAGTGGACTGAGAGAAGACATGAGTAGTGCAGTTTGAGGCCTCAAAAAACATCAGGTCATGTCATCTAGGGCCTTGGGGGCCACAGCAAGGACACTGGATTCTGTTCTAAGGATGAGAAGCCATTGGAAAGTTCTGACCAGAAGAAAAGCCATAATATTACTTGTATTTTGGATGGAATACTCAGATTTTTAGATGATAGAGGCCAAGAGAAGCAGTGAGATCATTTACAGAGCTATTGCTGTAGCCCTGGTAAGAGATGTTGGTGAGCTGGCCAGGATGGTAGCTGTGGAGGTGGTAGACTAGGTTCTATGTTTAAAGGTCAATTCAGCAAGATTGACTAATGGGTTGCGTGTAGGGAGAGAAAAAAAGAAGAGAAATCCGGGATGATTCCCAGGGTTTGGCCTGAGTAACTGTGAACGGTGGTGCCATTTATTGAGTTAGGAAAGCATGAAGATGTCTCTTGGAATTCTTTCCTCTGTTGCTTTCCATAGCCTTCTGTGTATCAACTATCCCTGGGTAATTTATTCTTTTTCTGTCTACTCTCAATCCCTCAATGAACCTATTAAAATTTCAGGAGTTAAGCTAACACACTTTATGCAAACAATGGTTTCATCAGCGTCATCGACCCTAACTTTTCACCTGTGCTCCAGTTACTTCCAACTGACCTCCTGACACTCCAATAACTTGTTTAAACTTCAACTCCTCAGTCCTATCTTTGCCCACTTAGTCAGATTCCCTTGGTCAACTCTTCTCTGTTTATTTATAATACTATTTTTGTTCCGGGTTTCCATCTCGGAGCTGCTTTCATTATTTAGTCTTCTATACTTCTTACCAAGTTGTACCATTTTTCCTTCAAAATTTCTTAAGTTTTCCTTGTTTTCTTATGTTACAATTTACATGCAGCAGCATCTTACTTGTTTTTGTTGGTCTTTAGTTGCTTCTCTTTTTAGTCTAAGCCATTATTACAATCTGATTAAGTTCTTTAAACAAAATCTCCGTGATTAGATGTTCCTTTTCAAAACCTTCCCACAGGTCCTGCCT